TATTACTAATGATCTATTTCAACTCTTTAGAAACTATTTTTATGATTGTTGATTTTCTAATCAATATTATATATTATTTTATTTTTTGAAAAAATATTTTAGCTAAAGAAACAACTAATTTTTTTAATAATATCTATTAATGTGATAATAATATAAAACTCAAATCAAAGTTGTTTCTAATATTATTTAATAGATCTTAGACTTTATCAACTTATAAAGCAATTAAATTGTTCTTCAAGATCTTATTGCCTATAAAAGAGAGTAATATAATAAATACTAATATTATTTAATTATATATATATATATATATATATATATATATATAAATTGAAAAGATAATATCTAATTTAAAATCTTGAAAGAAGTTTTATAGATCCAAATTAAATATTGAGATTTTTATAGATATGTCATGTAGCTATTGAAACTTGTTCTATGAGTTTTATATTTTTATGAAGTTGTACTAAATGCAACCTATAACTTAGTGCTTAGACTACAAGCTTAGTAATTCTTAAAAAGCTTCTACAAGACATTTTTTATAGGTTATACATAAGAAACTAAGACTAAGGCCATCTTTAGTATTATGGATATTAAAAAAAAAAAAAATTCAAGATCTTTCACAAATCTTCTATATTATGGCAAATATTTTTAAAATATTCTATGAGCTTAGTAGAAGTATGTGGTAGGTAGCTTAAAAACTAAGCTATGTTAGATGGGGTTTTAAAAAACTTTCAGAATATCTTAAGAATTAAGTAGGATAGTTTAGTTTATATTGCTAGTCTTTTTAGGAAGCTTCTTGGAAGGCTTCTTGAAACTTGAATTACAAATCATTTCTAGCTTGCATATCAATATATGAGAGTTCTAAATTTCAATCCTTAGATCTTAGAAGTATTATAAGTAGATACAAGATTGAGGTCCCTCTCAATCTTATTAATTTATATCTTAAGTTAGTTTTTATTAAGGTCTTTAGATATTCTATTCTTATCACTAACTATTGATTATTGTCTTCTTAGGTATTTCTTCTTATCTGTATATATCTTAGTCTTCAATTCTTGAAACTATTTTTTCTAGATTGAAGTTCTAAATGTGTCATTGACATTTAGTATTGTCAATTATTTTCTTGTATTTCAATCTTGGTTCAATACTTTTAGTCTCTTTGTATATTGCAATAATGATTTTAGTTCTTTCATATTTTATAACTATATCCTCTTTTTTAACTTTCTTCCTTCTTTTATAAGACATGAGTCTATTATTTATAGATTTTTCGAAAATTTGATATATTATTTTTATTACCATTGTGATACACTATCAAAAACAAATTTCAATATTATTGTCTATTTTTTAACACACAATAGTACTTAAAATATAAAAATTCTAATTAAAAAAAATTATGAAAATATTAAAATTTTATTTTAAAAAAACTATTTTTTTTCTATAATTTTTTTAAAAATTAAATTAAATAAAAATAGAATAAGTTATAAAATTTTTTATTTTTTTATTTTTTATAATTTAATTTTAAATTTATTTTGATTTAATTTCTTTAAATTATCTTTGAGATTATAATTGAACTTTATAAAACTAAAAAAAAAATTATTCTTCTATCATTACCTTTCAATAGTTAAAAAAACAACAATCTATTTAAGCATGTGTATCATGATAAAAAAATTATAATATATATATATATATATATAAATTAATAAAAAATATAATCTTATTTATTATTAATACTTTTTTTAAAAAAAAAGTCTCTAATATCTATTAGAAGAATATTATTAAATAAAAATTTGAAGAAAATTTGCAATCATTAATATCAAATAATATTTTGTTGAAAAATTAAAAATAATAATACTAATAATTATATAATGAGATATAAGCTTAAATATTATCATTTAAGATAAAATATTATTTTTTAGAATAAAAAATAAAAATAAAAATAAATCAACATCTATTAAAAATTATACATTGGATTAAAATTTTTAATTTTTATAATATATATATATATATATAGAGAGAGAGAGAGAGAGAGAGAGAGAGAGAGATATAAACTACTATAAAAATTTAATGCAACAAAAAAGAAAAAATAGTAAAAAAATGAAATGATAAAAAATATTATAGTAAAAATATGTTAATTATAAGATTGCAAAAAGATAGAAAAATATGGATTATTTTTAAACTTGTGCTGGGAAGACTAAGGTTTCATTTTCTTAATGTGTAGCAACTATCCTATAGATGCTTTCAAAAAGGTTCTAAAAGTTATCAACTTATCTAGAATCTCTAGGAATTTTTTACAAAATCTTCTAAATACTAAAAACAGTTGACAAAAACCTTTAAAGATAATGAAAGATTTTAGAAACTTATGAAAGATTTTATCATATTCTTAAAATTTCTAAAACTTTCTAGAAATGACATGAAAATCCTAAGGATTTTTAAAAAAAATGAATTCAAATTAAGATTATATTTCTTTATACTAAGTCTTCTAGGTATCTAAGTTTAATAATTTTGTAATTTAAAAAATATATATTATCTACATCTTCTAATGCATAGCTTTTAGAGTTCAATGAATAAAAAAAAAATCTTTAATTAAAAAAAATATTAAAATAAAAAATAATTATTAAGGTGATTTAAAGAGTATAAAATTTGTGTGTTTTTATCAAATAATATTATGCCTCTTGAAATAGACTTTCAAATAAAATAAAATTTGTCTTTCTAAATATTAAACACTAATTCTTAAATTCAATTAAAATTTATTATTTCTATGAAAAAAATATTTTAAATTTATGAAAATTATAAATGAAAAAATTATATATATATACATACATCGATTTTTTTATTTTTTAATTTAATAAAACCATGTAACTAATATGTTGAATTATTCCCATTCTTTTTTTTATTTGTTTATATGTTTATATGCTGAAACAAATCTCTAAATTTTATCTGTGCTTAATTTTATCTATATTATAATTTCTTATCAAGACTTGATGACCAAATTAGGAAATTCATTGTACACTTTTTTGAGAGATATTCTTTGAGGTTTCAAAAACTCTCCAAAATAACCTACAAATGTTTAGATTCTTTTGAATAAAAATTTGAGATTTACACAGAATGTAAACAATGTTGTTGAAAGTTAATGTAGGTTACTTGTATGTACCAAGAGGCTTTTAATATGCAAATATTAAGAGGCTCAATGAATGAATTTGTTGTAGAAAAACATAGTTTCTAAAAGTTGGTGGTGCTGAAGTGATCTGCCAACTAACATATGTTTCAACAAAGTCTTTGGAATGTGGGTGTGGTATTATCCAAAGTCCGTGGACCATGTAAATTTTTAACATTCTAATGCAGTATGAGGGCCATTTTGGAATAATAAAGTGTCCTACTTGATTGTAAAAACAAATAAATAAATGAAACCAATGAATCATAAACTTCAATAAAAATTCAAAAAAGAATAATACATGTATATGTATATATACATGTATACAGTAAAATTCACAAATAAACATTGATGATAGTTCACTTAGTCTATATGTACATAGATAGACATACTCAGGTGCACAACGTCACAGAACTCACGTTGCCAAAATACTTCACAAGCACATTCCAAAGACTTTGTTGAAAATACTTCACAAACCTAAGATCTCACAAGCACTAAACCCTAATCCGAATAATCAATTAATAACATTATGTGCTGAGATATATTACATTAAGAATAATCATCATAATTCTGATAAAAAGATTTTCTTCATATTTTATTTGATGATGTTTGAGTTTTATCTTCAAATCGTTTTTTTCAGTCTCAAGAAACTTTAAAAAATCAATCAAATTTTAATATTGTGTCATTGTACAATATTTTACAACAAAAGAACTAGACGTTTTTTTATTTTTATTTTTATTTTTATTTTCAAGCTTTGTCAATCCTAGTTGTCAATGTAGCTGAAGAGGGCAAAGATTCTACATTAGTTTGTTTCAAGGGCTTGAAAACCAATGGCTGTGATGGGTAAAGAGGAGTTGAATTCCCCAAATCTTTACTAGGAAACAACATTTTTGTCTCAAGTTTTTGTTTCACTTGGGTCACCAAGTTTTCTTGCACTCCAACCAATACAGCAAACTTGTTACTTTTCTTTCAAATAGTTTTTCAATAATTTCCATATCTGTCATATAAATGGCCTCTTTTACAAAATGTAATGTGCGATGTATAGATAAGCTATTCATATCCAATTTCGTCAATTGGATTGCACACATCAAGTCACAGTAATTGGTAGCATCAAACTTGTTTTGAGTCTACATTTGGACATTGAGTGGAAATGTGTGTTCCAATTTTGTTTGATATATTTATAAATTTTGAAATTATTGAGGATAATTCTGTAATATACACACACACACACACACACATTCATATATATATATATATATATATGAGAAAAAATTGTAGTCATAATAATATTAAAAAAATTGTTGTACCTGAACTACAAACCTAATGTGGTCCAATATGTAAATCTCAGATTTGTTTGGATGCTGCCCATCATGGTGGATAAGACTAATCAAAACCTCTACCATGGGAACTTTAATAGCATGATCTATACTTTTGTGCCCTTCGTGATGCCATGCCCGGTTCACAAATGAAGTCCTTTGCATTTTGAAGTTCCTGTGTTGTGCACACTAGAGCACAAATGCATGCATTTTTATTCAAAAGGCATGGGTATCCAAATAAAAGTAGAAATTATCATTGTTATTTTTGTAAGTAAAATGATTTAATTATGTTTTTTTAAGTGAAAAAACCGAAAATTAATTAAAATTCTATTCTATTTTAAAGGACTTCTCAGCCTAGGCTTTGAATTCACATGTTGATATTTTTGTGATGGTATAGAATGGAACATTTTTCTTGCTTTTTCTTTTACATAAATTTCTACCTTCAATGCTGCATAATTCCTTGGAAACTTGTATGCATGGGTAGATTTGGTAGCAGCAAGTTGCTTCAACATATCAAAATTGTACTTTGCTTGTAAAATCTCAAATTTCATGGAATCGTCCAATATTTTGTCTAAGGTTTTTAGGGCAAGCTTTGAGCAAGACTTTACAGGGAGTCCACCATATTGTTTCCTCTTGTCCATGGGAGAATTTTCCATTGATGCCTTTGCAGATGCTTTTCTAGTCTTTCAAATAAATAACAAGTGTAATCTTTTAGCTTTATGATGTATATATATATATATATATATATACACACACACACAATTAAACACACATATGTTATTTAGCAATATGAAGGACAATATATACTCTATTTAAGCAACTTAAGGTAGAATTAAACATTTGAATGTATGCATCTTGAAGATTGTTTTCCTTTCCTTAATTAAAATCTAATATTTATAATAATAATAATAATAATAATACCAAAATTTTGAATTGAAAATGGAACATTTACCTATATATAGACATGACATATAGTTGCAGGTAATTAAACCTGTAAGAACACAAGGTTCGTTTTGCTTCCTCTCGGTACAAATTAAGTAAATGTTTATTGTCTTCAATTTGAGCTTCGATTTGATACCGAGCAATGTTGGCAAGAGGAAGTGGTGGAATATAAGGACGGAAGTTGGTTTCAGTGGCTTCAATTGGTTGAAGGTAACTAATGCTTTTAGCGCGTGGCTTTTCCAAATACAATCCATTGAGAAAAAATATCCTCATTCGAAATATTATTTTATTGTATTTAAATATTAAAATGTAAGAGAGAAATTTGTTAAATATATATATATATATAAAGTAAAATAATGTGATTTGTTCATAACCTATCCAACTGTAAATAAATAAAATTGATTTTCTACATTCATTTTCTGCAAAACTTTTTAATGAACCCCATATGTCACATTGCCATCCTTCAAAGCAGAGCATCACATTTCAACTGAAAAAGTGGCACACGACTAATTCTGTTCTCCCAAACCCTAAAACATTGCTATTGCTATGGAGCACAAACCCACCTTATCAAATATGTCACGATTTCCAATCCTCAATTGAAGACCTACATCTAGTTATACAACATCTCTATTCTACCCAGTCAGTAAGCTGTTCAAATTAAACTCTAAAGAGGGATTGATTTTGTGAAAACAATGCCTGCACCCAAGCTTCATTCTTTGTTCTGTCAAACCAAATCGTAGATGTGATATAAAATTTGTGTGTGTGTTTCTGTGCGCATGTTCGTGTTTCTATCGAACTATCTATCTAACATTTTATGTGTGCATCTGTGTATATTTACATCTGCATGTGTGAGTATATTAATCCACTCACATAACAGATAGTTATATATATATATATATATATATACATAGCTGTGAGTGCATGTGTGTGTGTGTGTGTGTAGATTGCATGAGTGTGTTTTGAACTGCAAGGTTGCAGGAGAAGAGGCAAGGCTCACTTGGTGTGGTGGAGTCGATTGTGGGACTTGGTGACCTCGTCGCGGAGCATCGCGTAGCCATTGGCGACCTCGGCGTTGCGAGGCGAGAATCCAAGGCTACACCACTGCTCGCCGTTCCAGCTAGCGCTCTTCACATTCAGACGCAACGACACGCTGTCCATGCTCTTGGGAATCTCCTCCGGCACGGGATCCAGGGTCTCCTTCCTGCAACCCTCTCGCCGACTGTGGGGCCTCTTGTAGACCCGGTACTGCACCGGCAGCAATGATCTGTCACGACTTACATCCACCACTCCTGCAGGAACCAACAACACCAACAAAAACAACAAAAACTGACTCCGAATTCGCGACTTTCGAGACAAGTCGAGGCTAGTGGATCCGAAGTAGGAAAACGAAATCGGTTACAGATGAAGTTACAGTAGTAGAATGGGACACAGTGCCATCCATGAATCGGGAAGTGTATGGGTGGGTTCCGAGGGGTTTGTAAGGAAGGACGTGCGGCGGAGGGTGCAGGCCCTGGCCTTCCTTCAGTCCGCGCTCATACGCCAGCACGCATCCCTCCTTTGTCCATTCCCCCGGTTCCCTGTTTCCGCTTCGATTCGATCTCTTGCACTATCTTGCCCATCTCGGCCACCAGCGCTTCCGCTGGACGCGTTTTCCCGTCACCCATCATCCTCACCGCCGCAGGCCTTTGTGCTACCCGCGTAGGCTTCCTCTTCCTTTCTACGCTAAATCTCATGATTCCGTATAGGATCGGAACTTTCCCCCACTCCTGCTTTCAAGTGACGGTTGCACCACATGGAATTGCTAATCCCACAACCGGTCACGCAACATCCTTCGACGACGGCGCTCTCAATCAATCAAACAAACAATTAAACTATCAAACAAACTCCTCCTTTCCTCTTCTTCATCGTTGTCATTACATCCTCCATTTTATTCTCTCTTATTTTTTCTGTTTTCTTTTTCTTTTTCGGGTCTGCTTCTTCTCCATTTTCCGTTTGTGTGTGTAATTTTTGTTTCAAAAGTGTGGGTTCATGGTCAATCGGTGTGTTGGAAAGACGTAGCATCCATACACTCGATCTATAGGTGCTTTTTGTCTCTTGCTTGTGGCTTTGCGGCGGCGATGGTCACGTATGTTCATCCACTGAAACCTCCGTTGGATAATATTTCCGTAGTGATAATATTAATGTTTATTTACAATAACTATGATGATGATGATGAAGATATTATTGAATCAAATTGTATTGGATTGTAATGAGTTCATTGAACTAAGTGAAACTACTTGTTAGGGTTTGGAAATAAGATGTTGAAATATGTACATTGTATGGGTCTCTTAAATCCAATTTAATCCTCTTCTAAGCAAAAAGTTTGTATTAAATTACCTTTCTAATTTCTATGTTTTACAAACTTAGAAACTTATGATAAGTGTTTTTGTTTATTTGTTTTTTTAGGTATTTTTTTGCAAATACACAAGTATATGCATATCCTTATATTAACAAGTGTCTTTAGATTGTTGCATTGTGACAAGGAAAAATTAAAGAAAAAGCAATGCAACCAGAGTATAGAAAAAAAAAAATTAGTTGGAGTTTATGTAATAAAGTAGAATGTCTTTTTTTAAAAATAAAAAAAAAATCAAGATGAGTTGGTTTTAGCACTTTTCAATCCTATTAATCTATTAATCTAAGGAACTTAAAAGTCATTTATAATAATTAAGAGAGTAAAGAAAATTAATACTTCTTAGTCTAACATATAGCATTGATTTAAATAAAGAATATTAAATTTCATTGCAAGACACCAACAAAAAATATCTTTATCAAGCAATTGCACATTATACCAAACTTAAGATGGTATGACTTGTTATATGCATCCAAAGCTTTAGTAAGTTTATTTTTTGATTGTAACTTTTAATGTAATCTTATTTTTTTGTAATTTTTATCTATATTTATTTTAAATATTTTTTAAAATCTTTAAAATTTTTAATTTATTGATATATCATTAATTTAATAATAATTAATTAATTAATTTCTATTTTTATTTTTATTTCTATTTTTTCTTAATTATTCATTTTTAAATTTTATATATTAAAAATAAATTAAAAAGTTAGAAAAAATAAATGCTATCTTTTGTAAAAATAAAAGTAAAAGAAACAACTACTTGAATTGAGTGTCAATAGAAATGATTCATAGAAGTTCAAGTGAAATAATATTATAGTATAAATATAAACTTTATTAAATTAATTCCAATTAGATGACATTATAAAATTTCTATTTTAATTCTAAATTTAGCCACTATCAAGTCTAAAAAATTAAATTTAAGAAGATTCTATATACAATAATTGAATATAATAAATGAGATTGATAGTAAAAGTGATTCTAAAGACCCCTATTTATACTATAATGAAGGTTACAGAAGTCTATGGTACTTTCTATGGAAGTTTTTGAAAGTCTAAAGACACTTCTAGAAGCCTATGGAATTTTTTAAAAGATTGTAGAAGATTCTACAAGTATCTAGAAGGTTCTAGAAATTTGTAGAAGATTTTAGAAGGTCTTAAAATGTGGTAATTTGGAATATGTCCATGCTAGGAATTGCAATTAAAAATGATGCTTTTATAGTTGATAGTAAGCATTAGTGATATCATTAAATTAGTAATAATATTGTCAAAGTAAATTTGATGATGATAGAATGTTGTAATGTTGAGTAATTGATAGAATCTAAAAATTACATACCATACTTAAAAAATTGTTTCAATACTACTCCAAATTAGATTGGTCATAGCTCCACAATTACATAATGGATTCTTTTGAACTTGGACTCATTTGATAGCTGTAAAGGAGTACTTTATTTGCTATACAAACCACGTGTCATTATTCACTATAATTCATCTTATTCTTTTGAATGAAGCAAGAATGTATTGAAGATTTTTTTTTTGAGATTCATGTCCTTGACACCTATCAACTATCTTCAAAGTAAACAAAGATCAGAGTATATGTCAAATATAATTTATTACATCTTGGACTTCATCAACATGTAATTATTATCTTTTATGGAACTTATTCTTAGAAAATAGGGATAATGTCACAAACATATATATATATATATATATATATATATATATATATATGCTAATAGTCACCTAAATAATATGATCATGTAGAAAAAGATAAAGGTAGATAAATTTCATAATATCTTATAGATTAGCTTCCTACAAACTTTATAGACATGGTTTTATCTTTATACATGTCTATAAATGATAGATAGATTAAACACTTAGCTAACATATGAGCCACATGTTGTATAAGGTCGTAGCTTGTGGTACAAGCTAGCCATGTAGCACATGCTATTGTATAATAATTTAATCATAAAATAAAAGAAAAAATAAAATATTCTATTATAGAAAAGCTTAAATGAAATTATTTTAAAAAAAAATCTTTAAAATATAGATAATAGATAAGGAAGTAGTAAAAATTAACTATTGCTAATGTTACCTTTTTTTAGTAGATATTTCTACTTACTTTATAGAAGCATAAATAAACCAAATCAAAATAAATGAAATATATAATTAATATTAAAATATTAAGAGGAAATTAAGAATAGGTTTAAAAAAAAATTATCTCAAAATACTAAGAATTGATATCTGGAGATGACCAATTATGAATCAAGGTTGAAATCAAACCTTGAGGTGTAAAACCAAACACTTATGGTGAATCTTGGATTCTTTTGTCAATTTTACAATAGGATTTGGAATCAAACTTGTGAAAGGATTTTTAAGAATTTATTTTATGTGATTTAAAGTTATATTGAGGTTTTGAGGGCTTTTCAAAGTAAGAGGTGTATTTTGTGGATTTGGATTTCATGAAATAGAAAAAAGTTTACAAATTTGATGATTTTGTGTCACGGACATACTCATGTAAGCCAGTAATTACATATACAAATACATAGAAGTAAGTAAAAGTAGGTAAAAATAAGTTAATTCTACAGTATTTGATATGCAAGCTTTTTAGAAGCTTCATAGACGCTGCTTTGACTTCATAGGTGTCTTTAATTGACTTTTTGGATTAGAAACGTGGTCAACAAGTTGGCCATGTGCCACACATGTTGTTAGCTTGAAGACCAAGCTAACTATGTGGCCCACACATAGAAAAACTTGCCTTGTAAGTCAAGGCATGTGTCCTACAAAGTCAACACATATTGGAGGTTCTATAGAACATCGCCACATAGCTCCTAGTTAGATAGTATATATAGAGACAAGTGTGAAGCCTTCTTCACTCTTGTCAATTCTTTTCTTGCTTCCAGTCTAGTTTCAAGGGTCTCTAGTTTTCTTGTCTTTTGGCAATAGCCATTCCAGTTTCTCTTTTAATATACATACTTGTTTATTTATATTTTGTTACTTTTCTTTGAGTGAAGGCTCACTTGTCTGAATTCCTTTTTCATTAAGTTCTTGTCCTTGACAGATTGATAAGAGTACACCTACAATAGCAAAGCTTTATCTAATCTTGATTAAGAATGGATTACCCCTTTTTCTTGATAAGACACAAGCATATTAGAAGTTGCGGATTACCCTCTTCTAAACCGATATTGTCCTTAGTATTTTCTTTGTTCTCAAGTCCTCTCTTCTATTTGTCTTGAGCGATATTAGACATCTTTTCTTTTCTAAGTGTTATCATAGCAAAACTTGTTGAAATAAAGAATGCAATGGCATAAATGCAAGAGCAATTGAGGGAGTTAATGCTTGTGATGCATCAACTCAATTTACCACCACAAGAAGCAACAAGATTGGCAAGAAGTGAAGATATAGAAATGGTTGGAGCTGCTTCAACATCTGCACCAAACCATGTCCTTTCTCCTATGGTGGAACGTCCTTCAAATGTTAGAAAATCAAGAATTGCCCTATCCGAGAAGTTTGATGGTACCAGATCCAAGTTTCGAGGATTTATCAATCAAGTGCAACTTGTGATTGAACGTCAACTCCAAAGCTATCCAACTCCAGGATTGCAAGTTAGATTCATTGATATGCTTCTTTTAGGTTCAGAACTATCGTGGTTTTCATCTTTTCTTGAATGACGAGATCCAATATTGGATAATCTAGAGGCTTTTTTGGTGGAATTTCAATCCATGTATGGAGAACATGATGTAATTCGTGTTGCAACCAATAAGATCCATATTTTACGACAAGGTAATCGATCAATAACGTTGTATGCTTCACAATTTTGACAACTTGCAACTGATATTAAGTGGAATGATGCTGCACTTATTAGCCAATTTCTCTACGGATTACAATATGAGGTAAAAAAATTAATGCTCAACTTATGTGATCCTCAAACATTGAGTCAAGCAATTGACTTTGCTATGAAGTGTGACAATCACCTTTTTGAATTTCAATATGAGAACTGTACAAGTAGACCTCAATGTTACTATAATTCAATGGCAACACCAACACCTCTCCAACACATACATTTGGAAGTAGAGGATATGTAAATTGATGCAATACGTTTCAAACCTCTTACTGAGCAAAAAAAGACTTGTCGTCGTCAAGAAGGATTATGTTTATACTGTAGAGAACCAAAACACACTGCTCAACATTGTCTAGAGAAACGATGTAACCACAAAATGAGGAGTATGGCTGTGAAAGAAGACAATATGTCGAAAAACAAGTTTGACCAGCTACAATAGGGACCGTGCGGCTGGAACCTTGCACAACATCTAGTAAAGGTCCTATTCTCTCCTCAAAGCCTTCTCTTAGTTTTACATTAAATATTATTTTAGGACATAAACATTACAAAGCCTCTGCCTTGTTAGATTCAAGAGCCTCGGCATGTTTCTTAGATGAAGAATTTACTAAAAGACATAGCATATCTTTAGTAAAGAAAACTAAACCTGTTCATACATAGATGGTCATAGATAGTCATAGATGGTCGTCCATTGTCTTCTGGAGATATTACTCATGAAACCCTTCCTATAGAAGTAATAATCAATGGTCATAATAGCTCTGTAGTATTTAATATCATTAGATCTCCCTCTAATCCAGTCATTTTAGGTTTATTGTGGTTAGAAAAATACAACCCTCAAATAGATTGGATTTTCCAAACTCTTACTTTCTCTAAAAGTATAACTAACAATGTAGTTAATCAAATAGAGAGTCTTAAGTCCAGTTCAATTAAATCCTTGTTTATAGGTGCAAAAGCTTTCTTGCATAGTGCTATGAAAGAATCACCATATATTATTTATGCCACACCTGTTTCTACTGGTAGAAAGACTCCAAGTGACATTCTAAGCCAATATCAAGAATTTCAAGATGTATTCGAAAAAAAAATACGAATACACTCCCGAAACATCGTCCCCATGATTACTCAATTGACCTTCAAGAAGGAGCACAACTGCCATTCAGACCAATCTACAGTTTATCACAAAATGAGTTGACTAAATTCAAGGAGTATATTGAAGAAAATCTAGCCAAGAATTTCATACGCCATTCTAAATCTTTGGCAAGAGCTCCAATTCTATTTGTGAAGAAAAAAGATCGATCATTGCGGATGTGTGTTGATTATTGAGGACTCAACAAGATTACCATCAAGAACAGGTATCCACTACCTTTAATATCTAGACTTCTTGATCAGCTGAATCAAGCTAAGATCTATATAAAAATAGATCTCCGGGGAGCATACAATCTAGTACGCATCAAAGAAGGAGATGAATAGAAGATTGCGTTTCGAACTAAGTATGGACATTTTGAATACAACGTCATGCCTTTTGGACTTACAAATGCACCAACAGCTTTTCAACATCTAATGAATGATGTTTTTCAAGAGTTTTTGGACGATTTTGTAGTTTGTTATCTAGACGACACCTTGATCTATTCTAAGAATTCAAAAGAACATGAACTTCATGTTCGTCATGTGTTACAAAAATTAAGAGATGTAGGATTCTATGCCAAGATAGAAAAGTGTGTATTCCACACTACTCAAGTCGATTTCTTAGGTTACATCATTTCAAATGATGGACTTATGATGGATCCTAAGAAAGTTCAAACTATTATAGAATTATTTAAAATTGATTTATTTAAAATATATTTAGGCTTTTATTTTAATACTTTCTTTGAATTTCTTTAGGATTTCTTCATGCTTCTTTCATAATTTTTTTAAGGTTTCTTTGGATTTAATTAAAGCTTGCTTAGCATTTTTAAGGTTTAATTGGAGTTATTTAAGATTTTATTAGAATTAGAATCTTATTGTTGCAATTTTCCTTCTACTTTCTACAACCAAGTCCTTGGTGCATTCTCAAACAAGGCTTTATATGTTATAACACTGGCAAGCATGGAAGAAGACTTTACAAGTCTAAACTCAACATATACAATGATCAAAAAAGAAGCAATGTTTAGTTCATATGAAAGCAAATAATCAAGTGAGACTTTTTTCAAAGAAGTATGACTAAATAGAAGTAAAGAAACATGTATATTTGAAAGGATTATGGAATGGCTATTGCCAAAAGACATGAAAACTAAAGACTCTTGAATTATACATCTATATATATATATATATAGTAACTTTTGTGTGTGTTGAAGAGTTAAGGCTGTTTGCTTGTTGGTTTTTAGAAATTTTTCCCGTAGTCTTCTTCCTCTCCTTCCCACGTGTTGCTCCTAGCTTCGAGAGGATTTCCAGAACCCACTCGCAGCTCCAGATCACCGAGTGAGTGCAAGGCATTTGTGTCGCCACACATTCGTCATACATACATTGAGGAATGGGTGTTGGTTTGCTGGGGAGCACATCGGGCTCGTTGGTTTTATTTCGTTGCGGTGGACTCATCGCAGCAGCTGAGTTCGTCGCGTGAAGGTTTTAGCAACTCCGTCGTGATTTTATACACACACACATAGATACGTATATTGATTCACATTTTTTATATAATTCTTCGCGTGAGTAAATATTTGTCCGGGATGCTGCTGGTGTGAGATTTTGGGTACGGTGGGGGAGACCATGGTAGCAGTGGGAGTCATGGGAGCTCTGCCTCTGACCTCGATTGCACATTGTGCAACGACTTCGTCGTACCAACAAACGCGGTATGGGGTGGTGGGTTGTAAGGTGCCTGCTTTGGTCCAGATCGACAGCGTGTTCGGCTTTGCTGCGTCTGAATTGCAAGGAGATTTTCGGAAACCGAGTCAGTTGTTTCTCGGGAATGGTTTTAGGGTTAGTGGGCGCCAAAGCCAGTGGCAGCGCAGTGCATTGGATATCCGTGCCGTAGACGCCGCTCAGCCATTCGATTACGAATCGAGGAAGTTACAGGAGCTGGAGAAGAGCAGTAAGTTGAAAGTTGGAATCGTTGGGTTTGGAAATTATGGCCAGTTTCTGGCGGCGAGGATAACAAGCCAAGGGCATAGGGTTTTGGCGCATTCTCGAACAGACTACAGCGAGAAGGCTCAAGAATTAGGTGTGACATATTTCAGGTCAGTCGGTTACTTATCAGTTGATCGGTTGTGCTGTGGTGTTGAGCATGATTCCTGCTGAAGTGGGTCTCTGTTATATGAAGCATAAGCATTAAAGTGCCGTCATTTCTTTTACAATTCAACGAGTTGCGATATAGTTGGAACGTGAAATTCCTAAGTAACATACTTTCATGCAGTTACGTTTCGAAGCTTAAGAGTTCAACGTTCATGAGGATGAATCGGATCATTCACGTCTTCGTTACTTTTTTTAGTGGTAGCCTGACAGTGCCAAAAGTCATACAGTTCGTTTATAAAGACCTCACTCTTGAGGTCTTCCAAGGAGCTTCAAGTGCTTGAATTGTTCCTGTTAATATATTTACGTGGGAAGTGTAGGGTTATAAGGGCCTCAAGGTCCTGTAGGTAATAGTACAAATAATTATATTTACTGATATAAACCTCCAATTTGCAAGCAGTTGGAGAGGATGGAGTTGATATTTTTTGGCTTTGAATTCTCAGGAATGCAGATGATTTTTGTGAGGAGCATCCCGAGGTCGTTTTACTGTGCACCTCCATATTGTCAACTGTGGCTGTGTTGCAGAGTCTTCCTCTACAACGGCTCAGGCGCAACACCTTGTTTGTCGACGTTCTCTCTGTGAAGGAATTTCCGAAGAATCTTTTCCTTCAGGTATCAAGCCTCATTTAAGATGTAATGAATTGTTGGGAAAAGTACAGAGATCCTCTCTCTCTCTCTCTCTCTCTCTCTCTCTCTGTGTGTGTGTGTGTGTATGTATGTATGTATGTATGTATGTATGTATATGTTTCTATATGTCTGATAGTGTGTACACACACTTACACACACACACATTTTGATTGAACAATATCATAGGCCCTGTCAAATTTCAGACTAGGAGACCTCAAATGGGTAATTTTGACGTGATTCCGAATAAAATCCTCTTTCTATGATTATATGGTTGTTGAACACTTGATTTCTTCTAAGTCCAATCGGTACGTGGTTCAATAACAGGCGTTGCCCGCCGAATTCGATGTTCTCTGTACTCATCCTATGTTTGGCCCCGAGAGTGGCAAGGGAAGCTGGGCTGGGTTGCCGTTTGTTTATGACAAAGTTCGCATCAGCAACGGCCGACGGTCCAGGATCGCTGACCGGTTCCTGGACATTTTTGCGAGTGAGGTAAACCACAATTCAATTCACTAGTGACTCTCTTTGCTTTGGGTCCAAGGGATGCCAAAAATATGATCAAGGGTGCAATCTTGTCATTGCTGTAATTTTTAGTCAAAATTTACTTATGAATTGTCCTGAGCATCTTTCAGGGCGTTGCTTGTAGCCTCTACTGATAGTCTTGGCTGATGTGTACCCTCAAATTTGTGTCTCAGGGTTGTCGCATGGTGAAGATGACATGTGCAGAGCACGATCGGTATGCAGCGGGGAGCCAATTCATCACTCACACCGTTGGGAGGTTAGTGTAATTTATTTTCCTTGGTTTGTATTGAGAAGTATTTTCTTATTGTTTTCTGCTCAAGGATAAGCCTTTTCTGCCATGTTGGTGAAGTTTGTTTATCTGCGGTTGTCGCTATCATTTGGATTTATTTCTATTTTATTTTTATTTTTATACTGGATGAAAAGACATGGAAGCAGCGGAACTTTTTCTTTTCGAACAATGTGGAAAATCTTCAATGCGAAGGCTGGAATTTGTTGCACGTTAAATGCAGGGTGTTGGGAAAGCTTGGGTTAGAGTCGACGCCAATCAACACTAAGGGTTATGAGACACTACTTAGACTTGTGAGGCATCATTACTTTACATCTTCTTGAAGGTTGAATTCGTCGTTTTTGTGTCATTAATTCCTAAGGTGTAAACTGAATAGCTTTTAGTCAGTAACAACGATTTCCTCATTTCAATGATGTTACGATAAACTAATTGGAGCATTATCTGAAGAAGTGTTTTCTTTTTTAGTTTGTTCTAAAGCTTCTCTGACTGGACTGTTGGTCTATGCACATCCTCAACTGGAGACTACATCTGAAAGTTTAAGTGGTCCATGAACAGGTGGAGAACACAGAAGGTGATAGCTTTGACCTATACTATGGGCTGTTCATGTACAACCCAAACGCTACTGAGGAGGTAAGAGATCTCGCCTTTGCCATGGCAAATCTCTTAGAGCAGCTGTGTCAGTTTCTTTGGAAAAATTACCATTTTGATGTTAGGTTGAGGAACAGTAGTATTCTCAAAAGAATGAGATGGGGCTTTTAGGAGCAGTTTTATTCTGAAATCCTATGTTCATATTGTTCATTATTCCCTTTTATATATCTGTAGAAGTTGGTTCGAAAGCAGTCTAGTCCGCAATAACGAATACAACTCAATGTGGCTCTGTGTTCGCAGCTGGAGCGGCTAGAAATAGCTTTCGACTCTATAAAGAGGCAGCTGTTCGGACAACTTCACGATGTTTTGAGGAAGCAGCTATTTGGTGCAAATGTTGCAGATAAAGCCAGACTTCCACATGACCCTTCCAACTCATCTTCAACGAATGGGATTTCTAAAAATGGTGGCTCTGGAATTGCTAGCAACAGTAACACTGCGCTCCCTATCTTAGAGTCGGTCTTGGGCAATTCCAATGAATTGGACAAAGATTCCGATTCTATTTCGAAAAGCTCGAAGCAGTGATGTTCTGTAATCCAGAATCCTCGAAGCGTATTCTGTAGAGCACTTTCAGACGCATTATTAAAGTGCTTTTATTTGATCAACTCTCTCTGTATCGTCGCAATTTGGAGTCGAAGCTGTTGCATAGGTTTATTGGACACATCTTTTCATGAATTTGAGGTATAAGAGCACTAGAAGTATATATTTTCCCAACTCTTTTTCATGGATCAGACTGAAGCTTTGTCGTAACTCACTTAAATATACTTGATGTTTTTATTTGACATCATTTATGAATATTATTGAATCAACTGGCAAGCTACTTCTAGTTCGTCGACCTATTACAAGCTTTTGAACCAGTTTCTGACGCACTTGAAAAACACGCACATCAAACAAATTTATGCACATGTTAAATTATGTGCACCTGAACACCTTGGGTTGCTTTTTCGGAATCTATCAATATCAATCCAATTAACAATTTGCAAGTTTCACAACGCAATCTGCTAGTTCATTTCTCACAATCTTCGAGTAAGATCAAGAATGTGGTTATACTAGGGATCATTTCGTGACAGTCTGCTACGTGAAGTGGCGTAAGTATCAGTCTCCAATGAAGATCCACCAGAATGTACGGTCTCTGCTGTTATATGATGTTTTGTACCAGCTAACTGGGTAACATCAGTTCGAACTACGTCAAACAGTAAATGAGGAGAGCAATTATCCTTCCAGCTTTTAACTGAATTTCTAGGTGTCAATGCAAGTTACCTGCACCACCCAGCTCACATAAAGTGAGTATTGTACGCTTGAAAAAAACAAGGCCAGCATCTTTTGAACCTGAAAAAAGAAATCACTGTTGGAGAATTGCAAGGGATAGAATTCTCGGTATTATCGAGTGTCATCACACTCACAGCCGTTTTCATCCGTAGAGATTGTGATGAAAGAATGGTAATTTTCTAAAGCAATTAGGAAGGAGGCTATTGAAAAAAGCTCGTTATGAAAATGTGTTGGGGCTTTAATGAGGCGGCTGCTTCTTCAAAAACGCTCTCAATATTTTGCAGGAAACAAAATTGATTCCCTGGCAGGCCCGATTGAAATCTTCTCCTGGCACCAGCTCTGACTTGCTCATGACTTGTGCTATTGCTTTCAGACCTATTCAAATCAGCTTCGGTTGGGTTCATAACTCATGCAAGAAGCTAGTCCCTTTTTTTGTTTTAACGAGCTCTGCCGTAATGGCATTTTTCAGTGCTTTTAGACCTCTGAAGTTGTTACATAAGTCAGTACATTACTCTTGTGGAGTGGTTCTTGGTACGAGGAGTGTGCTTGGGATTTGAAATGTAAGGGATGCAAGATACTTTTGGAGAAGCAAAAACTCCAGAGTATTGATGCAGGCCTCTACAATGTTTGCAGAGATATGGTTCGACCCTGATGATGAAGCCCCGGGTACATTTTACATGCAGAGGCAGCTGATGCGGGTGAATGTGCGTCGGCCTTGACAAGGAAACTTTTCACTGACATTCAGCCATTGCAAATGAGAAGTGTCGCAATATTTTCGTAGGCCTTCAGAAACTAACAGACGTGGAAGCTGATGATTAGTACAATTTCTTTATCGCAGGTCTTCTTGTCTTTAGCTGAGAGCTCTCATTTTGAATTTTGTTTTGTTTTGTTTTGTTTTTTTTTTTTTTTACAGCATTATACGCCTATTCGCGGCAGACCTCGCCACAGTTTTGTGAAACTGCATTTGGGGTTGCAGGAAGTGAAGTCTGGTTAGAATGGGTGGACGCCCCATGCATTTACCTAAACCCACAGGTCCTCACCACGTTTCCTTCGCTGATTTTGAGCTGCGCCAGACAGGAGGAGAAGAAAGTGTTTCAGTTCTCTCCTCGGATCCTGAAAAGAATGAGCTCAAATTAGATGATGTACCGTCCATGCGTTTCTTTTATCCCACTGCAGAGGAACCCAAGTGGTGTCTCGCCGACACCCAGGCGAGACGGTGGCTGCCACATTTCAACTACACATGGGGCTATTTCTCCAAAGTCATTCAACCATCTTCCTATCTGCGCCGCTTCGCAATCTGGACCATCTCATGTACTTCGCAATCATGGACCATCTCATTCACGTAATCCCTTGTTGTTAGTGTGCCGACGGTGTGCAATGTGAGGTAGGGATTACCGAGTTTTGACGTTATCAACGGCAATGGCAGGCTTCATGCATCTCTTCATGTGGCTCCAATTGCACTGCTCCGTGGCGAAGCCTATGCTGGAGCTGGAAGGGGAGGATGAGAATGGTCGACTACCGGTCGTAATTTTCAGTCATGGCATGTGGTCGTGTCGCACAACGTATACGATTACCTGTTGTGACATGGCTTCTCATGGCTACAGTGAGTTCTTGAACCCTTATTCGTTTCAAACCATCCTGGTCAGACCAGCCATAGCCGCCATAGCTCTTGCAAAGTCTGAGCGGAGATAAAAGAAGAGAAAAAAGAAGCGAATATTGCACATGCGGAGTTCGACAAGACTCTTAATTTGTGTGATTTTAGCTGGAGAAGTAATTCTTGTCGAGGATCCCTGAATGCAGTTGTGGTCGTGGTGGAGCATTTGGATGGCTCCGCCGTCGCTGCTAAGTATCGAGATGAGAAGGGCAAGAAGAAGTGGATCACTCATGCGTTTGCGGAACGACCGTTTGATGATACTCCAATTTCTGATCGCTCCAAGCAGCTCAGAAAGGTGACAATCACGGGCTCAATTTTTCTGCCCACCTGTTGTATTCACCATCTGGAGCACCATTCTGATAATCAAATGGTCTTAGTTCTACCAAATCTTACCAGTATGTTTTGCTGGTGGAATGCAGAGAGTAGGCGAGATCCGGAAGGTAGTAGATGCACTGGAGATGCTTGATAGTGGACTCCTGACGCAGAATTCAAATGGCGTTAAAGGAAGGTTGAGTTTGGATGTGAGAATGATCTGTGGTCGCATTGACATGAGCCATGTCGCAATCCGAGGGCATTCATTTGGAGGTTCTACTGCCATTGTCGCTTGTGGGCTGGACAAGAGACTCAAATGCTGTATCGCTGAAGATGCGTGGTGGCAACCCATAGAGCGGGTAATATACTTGTTCGGTGAATTGCATGTAAAATACACTGGGAAGATCTGATTATGAAACTGCGAAATTTGCTTCGTGCTTAATTCTATGCTAGTATTTTCTTTTTGTCTTGTTTCTTACCAGAGTCGACCTCAATACCGTGATAAAGTATGAGATGATGAAGCTCTATGAATGACTGGCACTGATCTACTAAAGAGCTGTGACTACAGCCCGACTTCGACCGGCTGGCTGGAAAGGTGCCTCTGGTTCTAGTCAACACAGAACACTTTGAATGGGATGATCTGCGTCGATTACGTAACTTATTTCTTGAAGCTCGAGATGAGAGCCAGCTTGACGAACAACCTTTGGTGACCAAGCTATTTACCATCAAGGTTTATTTCCTGACAACACCTGCTGACTAGGTCTTGGATTCATTCTTTCTTGTCGATTCATTCCCCCACAATCAAAATTTTTAATTGGTAATCACTATTTGTTCGAAGTTGACGCAGGGCACACGCCATATGGACCAGTGCGACTTCCCAGTTATGTGGCCACGGGTCTTCAAAGCAGTCAAGTTCGTCCCTTAAAACCAACTTGTTTGTATTAAAAGCAATGTGTAAAGATCCGAATCCGCCTATGATATTGAGATGACAGCAATAGACCTGAACAACTCTTTAGGGCGCTGCAATCGATTGGATCTGGATACGATTTGGTGTGTAACTGCTTATTTCCACGTTCCAGCATATGAGCTTGCTTAAATGAAATTCATTTTTTTTTCTCTACGTCAGTTCTGAAGAGTTTGCTTTGCTGGATCATGATCATCTTTTTCAAAACTATTCTGATGTCAAGAGCGAGCATCGTCCACCGTCGAACCAAATCCGCCGCAATCAACCTTGCAACACTTGAAATGCATAAACCTTCAAATGGTCGCCGCTCACGGAAATTAGGCTGTTGGCTTGCAGGTTGTCAGGCACGGCAGATCCTGGGCTTGTAAAAGACATCACCAGCAGACTCTGCCTTGGATTCTTACACCGTTACCTCTTATCACCTGGTTCGGGTCTTCCAATATACTTCTCTGTGATGATTTCAAGGAGTTACCCAACGCATCAGCCTAGGTTTTCTCAAATACTTGGAATAGGAACTAAACTTGCAACTCGAATTCCAGCACTCTCACCATCAATAGAGGCAGTTTCGGAGAGATAAGAACACATCAAAAATATTCCTCTCAATTATTTGGTTGATGTGTGTGCAGGAAAAGGAGCTCAATACGCTGCAGACATCCTGAAATTGGATAGAGACCATCTTGTTGATGGCACACTTGCACAATCTGTTCAAGCTACAATACCTGGACAAGCTTTAGAAAAGAGTTCAGCAGACTTGAACCCGAACGCCCACCATGAAAATCATATTAGCAAACAAGATGGGAATTGAAGCACCCAACTTCTGTTTAGAGATATATTAGTTTGTAACATTCCTAATAAATTGAAATCCACCACCAAGGCCTTATTCGTGAAGTCTGGACTCCGAAAGCACTGGTCTTTTCGTAGACACAACAACTAGCTTACCAATCCATTATTTTTCAGCATCTTGACACGCTTTACAGAGATAAACCCACATTCCATTCAAACCTTTCTGAATCTCTCCTATACCTGAAAAACAACGGACATGTCCTTGTCCTTGTCCTTCCACTTAAATTGCATGGGGGTGGTGAAGGCTATGAGGTCCAATCATATTAGTATACACCTGCAAGAAGTTCATATCCTTCCGCCATCTGAACTCATTTGTGAAAGCAACTATTTTGCCAAGCATGCAAAATAACCAAAAGTGAGAACTTATAGAACATGTATCAATATCAAAAGATGCTCTTTAATTGGAATTTAACTAACTTCAAAACATGGAGCCTATAAAATTTGCAAAAAAACAATCATAATTTTTTAAAATTATACTCTTTTTGGCTAAATTTAGGAGCTCAAAAACTCCTATATAAGGTTCAAGTAATGCTTAGATAATTGAAGGGGTTGTGACAAGAAGGGCAAAAGGTGAAAAAAATTAAATAAATGCCTCTTAAAAATAATTGTTTTAATGAGTTTTTTAGCAAGAAAAACAATAATAAAGTCATATATATTTTGAGATTTTAAAATAATCAAAGTTTTGAAATCAAAGGTTTAAATAAATTTTAAAAGAAAATACCATGATTTTATTTAATTATATGTTAGTATCACATTTGATATATTGAGAATATGAAATAAAATATATCTTTACAAGAAGTAATTTATAAAATGCAATATAAAACATACAAATTGGTCTCATCAATTCCTTAGTCTTAAATGAATTTAGATTTGTAATTAAATATATGACAATTAAAAAGTCTATTTGGTTTAAATAGAATTGGTGTAGAATTATTCAAAGTATTAAAAATAATATCAGGAAGAATTTTCTTACATAATAAATTAATATTTATCAAAATTTTATTTGCCAAAAATTTATTAAGAAAAAAATATTTTCAAAAAGATTTGAAAATATTAAATATTTGACATTCCAAAATCTTACCTAATGTTATTTATTTATTTATTTATTTATCAAACAAATTCTATGTTATCTAAAATAGATATAATTAGTGTTTGTAGAATCATGCACATTGATTAAATAATATTCTTGTTTATAAGTTTTTTATTGGATTACAAGTTATAAATTTAAGTAGTAAACTAAAATTTCTAAAAAACTTCTTATATTACAATTTTTTTTTTAAAAGTAAATAATAATGAAATATTATATAGTCATTATCTTTGATTATAAAAAAATAGAATTTAATTACCAACTTATAAAAGTAATAAATTATTTTCAAATATTCAAATATATATATAATTAGAAAAAAATATATTTAAAGAAATGTGACAAAATGCGACAAAATGCAACAAAATTTCTTATTAGTTGCATACTTATTCATCATAATTAAAAAAAAAGTCTCTATAGTTGCTATTGAAGATGCTTTTGAAGTAAGAAAAACTGTCATATTGTGCTAATTAGAGAAACTTGTTGATTATGCCTTGCATTGATATGCAAATGATTCTATGTTGGATATATATATATATATATATATATGTATATATTAATAATATCTTTTATTATTTTCATTAATTATCCTAAATTGAAATAATAAAAGATATACATTAATAATATCCTTTATTATTAAATAAATTAGTCTAAATTAATAAAACATTTATAATATATTAACATCCAAATCTAACAATAGAGTAATAAATTTGGATTGGCATAGATATTAAGAAATGATATTATTAAAAAAATTAAAATATCTCTTTATTTATTATTATTATTATTTATAATATGGACTAGTTTTTAATAATTAAAATAAAGAAAAAGTTAGACTATAGTGTTGAACAAAACTAAACATTGCTAGAAGAACTATAATATAAGACAATGTTTATTTTTTAAAAAAATTATTGTCATTTGTATTAATTTAGATAGGATTTTAAAAATCATTTGAAAAAATTGTTGGAAATCTAAAGGGCAAAGACAAATTAGCATCAATGATTTAAAGTTAACAATTAAAGCACTAATATCCAAATGGATTATTGGGGTATTTTTTTACCATAGAGAACTAAATATTATAAAATGCCATAAGATATAGATTAATGAACTCCAAACCAATAGCTTCCAAAAAATACTTTGTTTTGACTCTTAATTCTATGCTCAAATAATACTCTATATATTGAAAAATAGAATTAGATTACAAAAGTATAGGTCACAATGGTTTGCATGTATATTTTTTAAAATTAAAATGCAATAATTCTTTCTAAAATGCTAAGAATATACCTATTTAATCAGATCTTTATTTTAATTTCATTAGTACTAACAATATTGCAAAGAAAGTAGAAGGGCTACTAAAAAAATGAGATTCATAAAGCCAAAAAATTTATTAAACTGTCCAAAATATTTTATAATAATTAAATTAATTGAGAAAAAAATTAAAATCATGATAAATCTTTATAGTTGGACTATTTCTAAAATATGATAGATGATTGTGTGCTACTTTTTACAATTAGAAACTAGATAGGTTAATAAAAAAAATAATAAATTATTATATTTTTACAATAGTGTTTCAACCTACTCATTAATACATTATTTTTTTTAAAAATAAACTGTGGTTTACTATGTCAAAATCTACAAAAATTATAATATGCGTGGTAGTTTATCAATCTACAATGTTTTGTTATGACTTTACACTCTATAAATCCTTGGAATATAAAAATTTAGATTCTGCTAATTAAAAACATAATAATAGGTTAATTTTCTAAAACATTAAATATTTGGCATTCTATAATCTTATTTAATGTTTTTTTTATCAAACAAATCCTATGCTATCCAAAATAGATACAATTAGTGTGTATAGAATAATGCACATTGATTAAATAATATTCTGATTTTTAAGATTTTCATTAGATTACTTGTTATTAGCTTAAGTATTCAACTAAAAATTCTAAGAAACTATCTTATTTATATTAAATTAAAAATAAATAAAATAAAATAATATGAAATCATCATCTTTAGTTATAAAAAAATTAGAATTTAGTTACTAACTTATCAAAGTGATAAATTATTTTTTAAATGTAAATAAATAAATAGATAAAAAATTTTATTAGAAATTTTTTTATTCAAAGAAATGTGAGACAAAATTTCTCTTTAGTTGCACACTTATTTATTATAATTAGAAAGGTTTCAATTGTTGCTATTGAAGATGCTTTTGAAATAAGAAAAATTGTGATATTGTGATTATTAGAGACACTTGTCAACACTTGTCAATATACCTTGAACTAATATGCAAATGATTCTATATTGGCAATTATTTTATATATATATATGCATAATATATTCTATTATTTCATCAAGTATTCATCCATCCGTTCATTCATTCATCCACGAGGAGTGGCAAAGTGCGAGGATAAACGCCGGATGCTGCAGGATTGCACTGAGACCCGCCTCAATGAACTCCTCAAGTGCAGTTGCTAAGTCTAGATCTCTCAATTATTCACCCCGCGACTTGTTGCAGTTTGAGTGAGAATTACGACCACGATGACAACAACACCAACAACAACAGCAGCAGTAGTTGGTGGAGGAGGATTCGTGCCCTACCAGATTGAATGCCGCACAGGGGATAGATAGATAGATAGATAGATAGATGGATAGATAGAAAGGCGACTTCGACGGGAAGCGAAAGCCAGGTGGAGAACGCCACACGGGCGATGATGAGTTGCGATTTGGGTGATGGAAGAGGAGGCGAAGGAGGAGGGGAGGGAGGGAGGGAGGGAGGGAGGGAGAGGGGAGGGAGGTGTCAGTTGCGATAGCGGCAGAGCCTACAATTGGCGCATCCTGTCAGATTCCCAACATCGATGTGGGTGGGCTTCTCTGACAAATGTATGGGAAGTCAGTCCCACGCAGCTTAAACCCAACTTGGAGATATGCTCTTGAAGTTCACTACACCAAGCAACCGAGCAGTGCTTGTGCAGCTGTCTTTGCAGCACATGAATTGATCAGTTGAAGGGGGTTTCCAGGTGTGCGTTAACAAACGTCCAGGTGTTGACTCGACGACGGGGTCCTTTGGAAAAGACTGAACCAGCGGCAGATACAGCGGATCTTCGGCGTAAGTGAGTGCGTGCGTGAGTGAGTAAGTGAGTGAGTGAGTGTTGGCGCAACGCATTCCGCAAACATTCAGAGATCGTTACAGAATCGTGCGAGACTTCGGGAGAGTCCAAGAAAAATCTTGAGCAAGCCACAGAAATAGAAAAAGAAAAAGCATGCAGCAGAAGTCCGGAGCGAGCAAGCGAGCGACGACCCTTGAAAGCTGCGTGAGAAGAAGCCCGATGCACAAATGGAGAGCGACGATCGTGGATGAAACCCTAATATTTATACATCCTCCGTGGATTGATAGTATTCATTCATCCTTCCTAAATGGCCCTTCTCTGTCTTGTCTTGGCTATGGTTTACTTTCTTCCCCATTTCTGTTTGGTCTTTCCAAATACTCAATCAAAAGAAATTTAAAGTGCACGTAGAAATTTGGCTTTTTGAATCTCCTCTTGTCCTATTAATAGCCAACATTTGAATGATTTTTCTCTTGCCATAAATTATTCAAGTATATATTGCTTGTGATCTTGCCAATTGGACACATAAAAAAATAAATAAAACCGTTCTTCCAGGAATTTTGTACTGGCATGTTAGGAATAGAGTAACTTCAAAGAATTGTTAGTAATTGTCTTGGTGAGTGGTTGCAAACTTTCTTTAATTGGAGTGTGTTGAAGTGGATAGGGTGCTTTTGGTCAATAATGTAAAAATAGTAACTTTTACTTTGATATCTGAATATGCACATATATTTTGTAAAAGAAACTCTGAATAGTTTCATTATATGTGGAATAAAAATTTCAGCAAAATTATTAATCAGTCTTTGATTCGTTGTTTCATGTAGCATATCTTAATGGCAACTTATGAAATACTGAATTAGAAATAATAACAATCAAATGTACACACATGTATTTTTATTTTTTTGAATATTTTAAAAGTTGGAGTTTATTCTTAAGTAATTGATAGCATCCCGTTGTTAATGAATTCTGAATAATGAAAATTCGAATCAGCCATTAATAATTCATAACAAAAAACTTGGAAAAATCATATGCATTTACACATTCATGATTGTGTAGCAGAATCTAAATTACATCTTGAACAAAAAAAGATAGAAAAGCAATTCAAATATGAGCAACAGATTTTTTTTTGTCTTTGTTGATAGTAGCAAAACATGATCTTTTAAATTACAAAAATAAGAATATCATCAATGCACAAGATCTTAAATTCAATGATCACATCTACAAAAAATAAAAGTAAAAATAAAAATAAAAAAACCATATATATTACAAAGATTTTGATATATATATTTTTTTTCCCACTATATAATACAGATTGTATTTGCATTAAAATGTGTTATGAGAATCTATTGTCGTACTTCCTCACACGTAGTATTAATTTCGCAGTCATTGAATAGTTCCAATACTTTAACAGTGAAAAATTTTAATTTGAAAGAAAAATAATCACATTTTTTGAAACTATGCATATTATTGATGAACTTATCAAAGGTGAAAATTATATAACTTTTTTAGTCCACACCTGAAATAAACTGAAATGCGCAATAACCTTGTGATCTGGGAAAAAAAACTGGATTAAATTCTTCTCACTCCATACCAAAATCCTCCCTTTGATTGCCTCATTAAAACTAAAGCTTCAATGCTTGCTCACAAAGCGACTTCGCCGAAGGGGTCCCATTCGGTGGACCCTACAAGTGGATCTGGATGCAACGCATGAGGCCTGCACGTATTAATCTGTATCAGTGTGTAATGTAGTGTGTAAGCGAGCAACAACTTCATGACAAGCTTACAAGCACAATGACAAGCTTTCTGACATGAAGATAAACACCGTAACCAGTTTCCTTGCCGTTGGAAGAAGCAATTAGCTCAATCACGGTGCTCAATGCCAGTGTGGGAAGCACACATATTCGGAATCAAGGCTCATACCATTTGTATTGGAGGATGCGCACTGACATTCGGGGACTCTTGAGGGATGGAAGTGGGGTGTCTGGTCTAGAAACGGCCCATCACAAGACCAGGTGTTCAAGAGGCACGCTAAGCCGGAAGCGGATTTTGAGTGGGTGAAGGGATTGGAATTGAGCAGGTAAAAGTGTTGGTATGTCTCACAGAAATTTTTTTAACTGGCGTGGATCTGATTGTGGAAGAAGCCACGAGTTGAGTTAAACCCAAAAGCAGAAGAAGAAGAAGAAGAAGAAGAAGAAGAAGCAGTATGAGTGTATGCGATTCAGAGAATTGTATCCAAGGTTTATTCTCAGCTTTTCGCTTGACAATGTGCTTGTCTTTCAACGGAGTGTACATTTTATCGGAGGGAAGATTGCTCCGAACAGCTCAAAGTAGTCTACGGTGTCAAAAATCGAAGAGGAGTTACAATCCTACAAATTTACATTGGTGCAAAAGGTTCCATGAGCTTGTGCACGGTGGTAAAGACAGATGATGCCAAAGTTCCTATATGGGATAACTATCTGCACTACCTTCGATGGAAAGGCTCTCGTGTGTGTGTTATCTCCGCAGGCTGCACCTCCGGAGAAATGATTCCAGAAATGGTTTCTGTCGAAGACTGATGTTGCAATGCCGCCTCTCACTTGATCGGATTCTGAATTCGATGTAGAAATCAACTCAACGAGCACAATAACGCGGAAGTTTGAACCATGATTGCGTTGATAACACGATCTGGTTCAAACTCGCCTTTGAACTGGAAGACGCCTCCAACGTCCAAAATTTGATTACCCCAATTTCCTTGGCATATACTCAAACATGAGGTTGGAGTTAAACCAGAAAAGTCTATGCTCTACAAGTCCAAGAAATTTATATCATCGAATTTCGCGTCTTCCCAAGCCAATTCAACGTCTTCCAAGCTGACGAACTCCTCTGCGACGACGGGAGAGGAAGACTCCCCTGTAAAATCAAGCTCCTCATCCTGCGTAATCTCAGATTTTGCCCCACTTCTCGAAGACCCTTCTCCCGTGGTGCCAGAGCAATCCGATTCCGCAGGAGTTTGGTGGGAGCTAGGTGACAAATTCGTCCCATTCTTGACGCTGATGAGTTGAGCACTAAGTAATTGCATTTTAGCCTTTGCGGGGAGCGCTACTGGAGTACAAGGCTTCGCGGCTGCGGCAGCGGCAGCAGCAGCCACTTGGATATCCTTGGGCGAATTGCATTCGGGAAGCAATTGAGGGGGTGAATCAGGGAAATTCAAAGTAGCGCCGGGTCCCCTCAAACATACCACGGCAGCATCATACGCTCTTGCAGCCATCTCAGCAGTGGGGAAAGAACCTAGCCAAATTCTCGACCTCTTGTTCGGCTCCCTGATCTCAGAGACCCATTTCCCCCATTGCCGCATGCGAACTCCCCTAAACTTGGGGCTTGCAGTCGTCTCCTCATTCTTCACGGCAGACTTCAGATCCTTCTTCACGGGAGCCAAGTAATGCCGTGCACCTACCCTAACCTCTGTCGCAGCTCTCTGGCTCCTGTTCTTCTCCACCATGGTAATGACCAAGTCCTTACGCTCCTTACGTTGCAAAAATCACACTCCTACCCACAGCACACAGGTGCGAAATCGTTCCAACAAAACCCCTCCCACAAATTTCCAAATTCTAATTCCCACTTCCACTGGAAATCTGAAACTGCTTATTGATCGCTATACGTCACAGAACGACTACAAGATGATCTCTTAATAAACACCAAGTCTTGACGCGCACGTTTCCTGAAGACTGAACACGCAACAAGTGGCTACTCCTGAACTCCTATGCCCTCAAGCAAGTTCACTAACCGAGCCAGAGACAATTACAAACCTCAACACGCTACAGAAACCTCGAAATAACGTCCCAATCTCCCTCTTTTTCTTTCTCACTTTATCTAGTCTTCCCGGTACTCAGATCTTAGCAACCACATATCTCTGCTGCGGGGCTCTTGTAAGATCTAGTGCAACGCAATTGCTTTGGTGGCTTCTGCACCTTTGTGCACGGTAGAGTGAATCAACAACTCTCTGACCTGTGGATATGTGTTCGAATACCCTTAAATTCTAGAATATGGAGCGCAATCTATTACGATGACGAAGCAGATGGCTGGCCTTTGTATGTGAACACTTGCGGGCCGAAAGCAAGAAGATCGTTATGCGGTTTCTCCGCGTATAGGCCCGCGCGTCTCGTGTAGGTGATCCAGGTGTCGACGCGTGGTCAGACGCTAAAATCTGATGCTGTGTCGCGTCGTATCGATTCGAGGCTACGGAATATGAATAATTCAGATCCAGTCCGGACTCCATTGAATCCAGCGCCTCTGGTGTTTCGCAGGTCCCCGCCTTGCTCCAGGCCCATGGACGATGTTATCCGTCCTTTCCGTAAGAAACACACACTGCACTTGGGCTCCAGTTGCTGCGCAAAAGCTGAAACCACTTTCCGATCATCGGGAGTTGGATCAGGAATAAATCTACCATGTCACTGTATTGGACGTTATCACTTTATAGATTGACTATTCAAACAACCACTCAATCTCACACATGGGTTGATCAGAATGATGCTCCAGGGAGCAGGTTACCAGTCGTATAACCTCTCGCCTACTTTCTGAAGCATGCATTAAGTTTATGGGTCCAAGTGAACCGCGAATATGTGGCAAGGTTTCCACAATTAATTTGTTCATAATCAAGTGAACTTGTTCCATTTCAAATTTTATTCTGCACTATCTCGTACTCCTGTGAATCTTAAATTGAGTTTTGTTTGAATTCCAAAAATTAAGATAAAATAAAATCAATGATAGAGACTACACTTAGAACCAGGAACCACCAACCCAGTGTCCCGGTTAAAATGAGTCCGAGTTACTAGCCGCATAGTGACGCAGGCTCCAGCAGTCAACCCACATCCAAAATTGCAATTTCCTAAAAAAGTATGAAGCGCTAAACTCCGGTCAACTCGTGGCCACAAAAACCACAGGAACATCCGAAACTTTTGACGCTTCCAATGTTGGCTGGACATTGCCAGCATAACTACCTGCAACCCGTACCAAACTGATCGCTGTTGCTAAATTCTAAAGATGGAGGGTAAAAATGCCACGGCAAACGCAGGCTCCTTAAAATCTCACGCTGATCCATCGGCACCCACCTGAAAAGTACGCAGGACACGCGTTACTCTAATCCGACGGTCTCCACCATCGACAGCACAGAGAGAGCAGCGCTGGGGGCCATTCGATTGCAGGGATCACCGCGAAACAATAATAAACATCGAATATTATAATATCGAGAGGATTGATGTCGCCGTGGATTGCGAGCGCTGCGATACCGATTAGACTACAGTGCCTGGGATTAGCTACGGCGTCCGCGCGTCACCCGCAGCGTCCAGGTCTGGTGTCCATAACAAAGATCCTCGCATTCAGGTATCTGAATCTCAATCCACAGAGCTAGATAGGATCAGCCATACTCGGTGCGTTTCCTCGGCACCGGATTCTTCTTCTCGTCCACGCCCTTTCGATGCCACCACTACGTCGAGAGCCCCTTCCGCCCCCGCGCTCCTCCTCGTATCCACCCCACCTTTCGTGGATGAATGAAGTTGAAAGTTGATGAATGTTGGATGAGGATATGTCGTTCGGGATGGCATCACTAGCAGTGCGCCCGGGAAAAGGTGACGGGGCAACAAATTGATAACTCCCGCTATTTTTCTGTATAAAAGACTCGTATATTTGTTATGGAAAAGGTGGCCTTTAAAAAGATGCTCTGAATTAGAGGCTGAGTGTGCATCATGTATTTTGTTTATTGTTTTGTAGATGAGTAGCTTGCATCCCCTTTGTCTCAAATGTGTGGGTGTTGTTTTGTTTCCATCGTGTCACTTGAACTCTAGTGGGGTTCTACTCTTGGTTGTTTAGTTACTCTATCAATATTGATAGACATTTGTTTTTGATATCTTACGCTACTGATGATGACAAGAATATTGGAAATGCGTTTCTATTGCATAACATGTTTGTTTGTTTGTTTGTTTGTTTGTTTATTTATTGGTGTATGATAACAATACATCTTTGCGGACATGGATTTTTGGTCAAACAGTCATAGAATGTAACAATCTGAGTTTTTTTTTTTTTATTATTTTTTATTACTATAAATAATTAAGAAGAACTTTCCAGATTTTGAAGTTCCCAAATGGATGGATGTGTACATTGGTTGTTGGAAGAGATATTTAATTTTATTTAATTTTATGATTAAGTTGTAATGTTTAATGACAATAGTAATAGTTATTTTTAAAAAAATTATTTTGTGAAAAAATTCATCGAAGTGCAATACATCAAATTCATATATAACATTTTGCTAATTACAAAATCATTTAACATATCACAACATTGCACAACCTTTCAAAATAAATTTTCACTCTATCAAAAACAAATTATCATTGTCTAACAATACCAAGGTTAAATATCAATTATGTTTCAATTTCTTTTTGTTCATCAAACAACGTCAACTCACAACACACATTCACACCAAACAACATTCCATTCTACAAACCTCAAGTGTCTAAATACAAAAGACTCCAACATCAATCAGCCCACTTGTGTGGTCACAATATTCCCTAAAATACACTCTCGTCGCCCTCTCACTCGGTGATCGGATCTGCGACGATGTCTAGATTTCGGATGACTCGAAAAAAGTACTGGCGGTATGATTCCCCCCTCGTATAAAAGGCTTCTGTTGTCGTGTTCCTGAATTTGTCATACGGGGATTTACAGATTGGCTACACGCTTCCCACTATCGCTGATCGAACTAAATCTTTGATGTTTGTGGCACAGACGCGGCTTCCCCTATCTGGGAGTCGCTTCCGCACTGTGCATTTGTCCACACCCTAGATCCTGGATTGTGTGCATGCATTGCCCCTCCTCCTCCTGCTCTCGCTCCTTGCTCGGTTGCGTATAAGTATTCCATCTCAAGCCAATTTGCAGCATGATTGACAAGTATGCGAATCTGGCTCTCTGAAGGCTTAAACGTGCTTTGCAGTGTTCCTTATGTAAAACCCTTTCAAAAGTGATTAAGTCGCGTTTTCCTTCGACTGTGATTCTTCGCGGTGAAGTAGTTGGGAATTGCGAGGAAGTGTTTTGGAAAGTCTGGTTTCGAAAGATCTAGATTGGGAAGATCAGAGTGTGGTAGTGAAACAAAAATAACCGAAAGGTTTGGTGAGGATGGTTGAGAAAGTAGTGGTGTCGTCTTTGCGTGTCAAGCGAGGAGGCAATCTCTTGGCGCCACTGAAGAGGAATGTGTCCAGCATTGCTAAGAAATCCTCAACGCCAAAGAGTGGGAAACCGGTAGGGAGCCCCAAAGTGTACAAAGGAGTGCGCATGCGGACTTGGGGGAAGTGGGTGTCGGAAATTCGAGAGCCGAACAAGAGGTCACGAATCTGGTTGGGCTCATTCCCCACTGCAGAAATGGCAGCCAAAGCGTACGATGCCGCTGCGGTGTGCTTGCGCGGACGATCCGTGAAGCTGAACTTCCCCGACAGCCCTCCTCGATGCGCAGCCCGTTGCAATTCGCCGCGCGAAGTCCAAGCGGCAGCGACCGCAGCCGCCGTGGCATGCATTCCATCTGCAACCGCTCTGACCGTGGCCAATTTCCAATCTCCCGCTCAGACATTGGAGAGCAGTCCACTTCACTCATCGCCTTCGTCTTCCGACATGAGCTCTGGGGATGAAGACTCAGGGGAGGATTCAGTCCAGAGCTTTGTCGCGGAGGGGTCTCAGATTTCCCCTTCAGAAGTTGTGCCAGTATTGGAATGGGTTAAGGTGGAATTCGGCGACAAGGAAACGGTTGCTGCTGGGGACGTTGATTTTGATTGTGACTATTCTTTCATCTCTGAATTCGCAGCTGACTCCTTACTGGCTTGTTCCTACAACAGCAAAGGTAGAACTGAGTACTTGCCTATAGAAACTCACGACGCGGCTCTCTATGATTCCACACTTTGGTTCTTCTAGCCGACAAGATTTGGCCTGGATCTGGAACTTTTTTAAACTGTTCCGGGATTTGCAACTCTGCTCGCTCAAATGCTTGGCAATGCATATTCAAGAGAGGTGTCCGAAATTAAGCAACCGATTAGAAATTTTGAGGCCCTTTGTGAAAGTTGAAGCGTTTTCCACGAGACTGAAACATAGAATTGGGTTTTTGGAAGTTTTTGACACTGAAAACGGAAGTGTTTGCTGTGTTTGTATTAGCGGATCGTTTCCTAGGGTCTGAAAGATCAGGTTGGAATTGGGAGTTTTTGACGCTCTTCTTGATGCGTTTCCCCGTTTTATTTAGCGGGTTTCTCCAACGACTGCTTAGAAATGCACATGGTGTTTTTCTTTTTTTGTGAATGCAAACATGACCCAAGCCATTTGGCCTTTGCAACACGTAGTGTAGTGGATACTTAGCATATCAGATATGTTTTTGACAACTCAGAGCAAGCTGGGACCGACTGAAAAAGACTTTGTAGTTCAGGGATTTTAGTATGTCAGTTTCCTGCAGCAACAATGTACAGATCAGCCATGTTCAAGGCCACTCCATCTAAACTTTTGTGGAATGATTCAGTCTCGTCAACTTTACTTGTTGGAGCCTTTCGATTCTTGTGACATGCACATTAGTTCGATATGCAGTTGAATTTCCGCCTCGAGAGGTCTTCTCTTCTCAAGTCAGTCTTGGAGGATGCAGTCAGGTATAATGTTTTCGATTCTTGACGTATTAGCTATTTTCTCGTTGTAATTGGGTTTTCATTGGATGATGACGCGGTTAATGGCGTTGAACTGTCCAGCACATATGCACGAAGCATAATAGTTATTATATCTCTCTCGTTAATAATGTTGGCCAGTTGCAGAGACACATTCTCAAACATCAATTTGGTGATAAAACACATGCACGGAGGCCTAGGGTGGCAGGGAGTTGGTTAGACTCTTCCTCAGTTCTGGAAAGAATGAAGGCTGTGTGACGATTGGCCTATGATTCCTCGAGCTTTGAAGTGCTACCATGGTCGACATCTACTTTTGGGCAGTTTCGCCAGTAATAATTCACCTTGCACTATTAATGGACATCATTCGTTGATACTTTCCTCCAGCAAATAATCTTGAGATTGCTCATCAGACGAGTGAGAATTATTTCATAGAAGTCAAGTGCATAGTAACAAAACATTTGAAGTTTGGGAAGAGTTGAGTTGAAAGTAGCAGACAATCGGGTTTTAACGGACGGTCCACAACCCATCGTCAACAAAGACGCATCCTTGACCATACTGGCTAACAACTGAGCAAAATCCAAAAAGGGGGAATCTTGTAAAACGCCCCAAGCCTTACCAGACGGAGAGTGTCAAGTGCATTTTCCTGTGTTACATCTCCGATTATTCGCACGGCCAATACATGTCCTGGAAAAGTGTGCTGTTTCAAGAAGGAATCTGGAATATCCAACAGCGCTCCCATTTCACGTACCTGCATTTTTCAAAGGAACCAAAAGTAATACGTTATCTGAGCAGAACTTCAGATTGTTATCCTTGTTTTTATAGTAGTCCAAATGTGCAGGTGCCAACGCTGTCGCTGTATCAACCTGCTTGACGTGTGTGTACAGCAAGTAAGGTAACGAAGTACCTCGTCTTGGAAGAGCCACTTGAAAGGCTCAACTAACTTCAGTTTCATGTCCTCGGACAAACCACCTACATTGTGATGAGTCTTGATCGTATGGGAGTGCGAATCACCACTTTCGTGAGGAGAACGCGATTCAATGACATCAGGATGAAGTGTTCCCTGCACAAGATAGGTTGGCTTCTTTCCAATCTCTCTCCAATCTGTGTGAAAATTCATCCATGACATTGATAAACTATGCTCCAATTACCCTCCGTTTCTCCTCTGGATCCTCCACGCCCTTCAACTTGCTGAGGAACTGCTCGGCGGCATCCACACAGGTCACTGGCAAATGAAGGTCTTTCTCAAATGTAGCCATCATTCTTTCTCTTGTACCTGAGCCACAAAAATTTCCAACGACGGTCAGGCTGCAGAAGCGTGTCTGTGCTTTCCAAACTTCTATCAATCTTTACTGTCGTAAACAAGACATTCTAGCCGGAAAATTCTAGGCAAATGAGGAAGAAGAAGAATTTCAAAGGGAGAAGAGTGGCGCTATAATGTCTACCTTCCAAGCCCATTATCTACAAACACACAATGCAGACGGTCTCCAACAGCACGGTGCACCAGAGCACCCGCAGCTACTGAGTCCACACCTGAAAGTGCGCAAATGATATGGTCATCTGGGCCAACCATTTCAGCGATTTCTTTTATTTCCTTCTCCAACACATTCTGCATCTGCCAGCCAAGTCTTATGCCGCAAACATCAAGCAAGAAGTGGTTAAAGTCTCCGCCCCTCTCTCTGAGTGTGTAACCTGCACAAAACTAAACTTCTCAGAAATTCCCCAGAACAACAGGGCGAAAAATCAGCACCTGGAAGCAAAGTTCAGCAGGGAAAAAACAATCCTCCAATCCTGGATGACCAGTATGAAGACACCCCGATTCTACAATGAATAATATACAAGTCTGGTAAACATCGACATAAACCGACGGATTACGAGCCATGCGTCGTACAGAATGTATTGCCTCCTCAGAAATCGACATCCTCAGTAAAAACAAATTGCACAGGATCGATGCAGAAACACACTTCTAGCAACCACGGGAACACAAACAACGAGGAGAAAGCTCATTCCAATGGTCGGACTTGCAATTGGAGAATGCGAGAGCAATAAGGGCAGCTTCAACGAGCAACATAAAATTAATTTGAAGACAAACGAGGCGAATAAGAAGAACCTCGCGATGGTACTGAAGGGCGTAAATGTTGGCCTTCTCGTTCTCGATTGCAGCAACGATGCCCTGCGTGCTAGTCGCCACGACTCTAAACCCATCCGGAAGCTTCACAACTTGATCACCGTGGCCCATCCACACCGTCCGGTTATGCATGGCCTCAGAGTCTCCATAGAGGCGGCTCTTCTCGACGGCAGAAATCTGCGTACGCCCATACTCATGGTGCTCAGCATGATTAACCTTCCCACCCAGCAGATCCACAATCAGGTGCAACACATTGCAAATTCCCAACAAAGCGATGCCCTGCTCCCGGGTAAACGCGAAGAATCCCTCAGGGAGAATCGGGGACTCGTCGAAGTGCACTGAATGCGGACCACCGGAGAGGATCACACCAGCAGGATTGAGTTCCCGAATCTCTTCAAGAGGCGTCGTCCCCGCAGGTAAACAGAAGGACGAGATATGCAGGCCTCGGATTCTCCCATATTGATTCATCCACATGCTCCTCGTGGATGAACTCTACACATATTTATTCATCTACATATTGATTCATCCACATATTGATTCATCCACATATTGATTCATCCACATATTGATTCATCCACATATTGATTCATGCACGTATTGATTCATTCATTCATACATACATACATACATCAATTCATTCACATATTCATCCAGAAGTGGATGAATACGCACCCAACATGGTAGAGTTCATCCACGAGAAGGGGACTGGTGACCCCTAACTGCCGAGAGGTTCAGCTGCTGCCAACTGGCAGGGGACGCGAGCCAGCGCCGTTGTGCCAAACAAGCGTGGCCGAGGGGTTCAAAAGCCCTCCCTTCAGCGTCTCCCCTCACTCACTCTACTTGACTCCACTAACTTACTACATGTTTTTACAACATTTAAATAAGTCAACAATAATAAATTTTTATTTTAAAATGCCAATAAATTCCATCTTAAGTTATTGATAAATTTACAAAAGAAATAATTTACTTCCTTGATTAACAATAAAAAAAATTTAAGATTTTTGTAAATGTTTCATTATTTTCAAACTTAAACAGCTAAAAAAATATTCATCTTTTTATAATATTTTAGTTTTTTTGTCTGTTTGTTTGTTTGTTTGTTTTTTTGTTTGTTTGTTTGTTTGTTTTTTTTTTTTAATTTACTACTTAAGTTGATTATTTTAAGCACAAGTCTACTTTTAATAACTTTTGGTTGAAATTACATGTTAGAAGTTGATTATTATATTTCTGGTTATTTGATTGTCTTTTGTCAAAAATATAAGAATAGAATATTAACAATAAAAATTTAAAAAGTCCTATAATGTTTTTAAGAGATAAGATAAGTTTAAGATTACTTTATTTTATCACATTACTATTTCATAGCAATAAAATTAATTTAAATAAACCAAAAAAATATTTTTTTTACATAAATTACTAAAACATTATGAGGTTTTTTTTTCTCATGTTTCTTCTACCTATTAGCTAATACTTATAAGTTTTTCATAAAATACAAAAATAAGTAAAAAATCATGTAAGACATTGATCTTAATAACTAAAGAAATATACTAAATTATCTAAGATTATTGTCTTTAAGTCTTATTAAGATTCTAATTTAATGATTATTTGCTTAAGAAGACTCTTTTAACTTATAAAATCTTCTAAATCCTATTAAAAAATTAGATTATTAAATAAACTATAAAAAAATATATATATCTAAAAATTATTATTATTATTATTATTATTATTATTTTTATCAATTCTACTAATCAAGATGTATTGGTGGGACTTATTTTAAATCAAGTAAAAATTTAAAAACAAAGATTTGAAAAAAACTCAATATACCTAAATAATTCTAAATTCAAAAATTCTAAACTTCTTATGTTGTTATCCACCCATAGTATCTACACCTAATTGCAAAAATGTCACTCATTCAAGGAGCTTGTACCTACCATGGATGATACTTATCAAAGTACTGTAAAAATATGATGTCATATAAATAGTAAGCAAGGAAATAAGATATTATTATGAAATCATCAATACTAATGGAGAGGCAATAAGGTAGATGGATACTTAAGGGTCAGAAAAAAGTACTTAAGAGATAGTTGAGAAGTAGCACAATATATAGTAGGTTCCATGTAGTAGCACCATGAGTCAAATTAGTATTAGGTTAGATGGCACGTAATTTTTGTTTGAGCAGTAAACTATCCTTTATATCTTTTCTAATCATTATGTGTATTGAGTCCAGTTTTACAAGATTGTATTTTATACTTGTTAGTAACTTCAAAAGCTCGATTAACATTTGGCGACTATGTTGGCAAGCATCATGTGACAAAACCTGGAGAAATGTGAGAGATGATGATTATGAGATCTATGAGTAAATTAAGCAAAGGAATTGAAGCATGAGATGATATATGAATATCTCTTCTTAATCAATATGTGCTCAACCAGCGGAACTTGAGAGACCGCTATTAACTCCAAAGAAACTAGAGACTTATAGAATTGGTTACAACAATATACTAGAAAGATGGAAGATTGTATGAAAACTTTATAAGAGATATCACAACATTACAAAGAACCCATGCAAATAGTTTAGAATTCACCACTTGCTTCAAAACACCCCAAACATGGCAACCAAGTGTAAAAATAGAAGAAGACCATGGCCACACTACACAAGAAAATCCACTTGCATCCATTTCAATTTAGGCAATGATAATTAATTTGAGACAATTAAACCTAAAGTATTTTGTATACAATTGTATGAATGATCCTAATAAATA